TTAGAACCGAGTGCCCCAGGGGAACCCAAAGTTCCTCAACCTTCTCATCACGCTTCTCAGACAGCCTTAAATCCCACTGGTACAGACACACAGCTTTAAGCCCTGTAGTTCAAAGCCAAAGTGGTGCTTCTTACTACTCTAATTCACAGCTTATCCTGAGCCTACAAGAAATCCCAGGGGTGGAAGGAAATAATCAAGTGTAGGTCCCCTTTTCAGTTGCAGATATCCAGTGGTGCAAAGAATGATTAGACCATCTGTCAGAAGGTTCTAGTAAGCTTGTGGATGGGTTCCAAACTTTGATCTTTGCTTTTGACTTGTCATGGTAAGATGTCCAATTCATTTTGGCCACTTGCTGTACCTCAGATGAAAGACAGAATCGTACAAGAGGCTAGGAACTATGCAGATGAGCAATATGCTTTGAAAAGGGAAGAAAACCACCTCAGAGAGGCTATTCTCCCTTTGACAGAACCAAACTGAGACTATATGCTAGCTGTTCTTACTGTGGCCATCCCCTTACACCCAGACTCCCAATTTCTGTTTGCCTTTGAATGGAATATTCTGATCTGTAGCCCCAGATATCCAGCATAAGCTAAAATCTTCAGATGGCCCCACAGACACCTATGGCCCAATTGCTGGACATGGCCTTTTCTGTGTTAACAATCAGGACTCAGAAGAGGGACAGGAGAGAAAGGCTAGGATTACAGCTGCTGCAATTGGTAATGCTTTAAACTCCTCCCAACTGTCTAAGGAAAAACCCAGGGACAACTGAGGTTCCTGTTTCAAGTGTAAGAGGACTGGATACTGAGCATGATAATACACCAAGCCTCCACCTGGACCCTGTGCATATGTGAGGTAGCTAATACATCTGACTCATGGCATTGGAAGTTTAACTGTCCTCACTCCCAGAGAAGGGCTACACTAGCCAAAGCCCTCATTTATTGAGAAGGCCCAGGGGAACCTATAGTGCCCCACCCAGAAGAGAAATTTCTCAGAAGAGAAATCTTGGGTAACCCTGGATGTCATGGGTGAGCCAGTTCAATTCTGTTTTGACTTTCTTCTCTAGAAAACACTCCTCTAGACCTATAGCCACAGTTTAGTGAAGGGGACTTGTAATTGGAGATTCTTTACTCCTCCTCTGCCCAGAAGTTAGTCATTCTTGGTAACAAGTGATCCTCCAGAACTATTCAAGCAGGCAGGACATTGGTGACCTGTCCCTCTGAGACCCTAAGAAGGTGTGGTTCACTGATGGAAGTAGCTTTGTTTAAGAAGGACATCAAAAGGCAGCACAGCAGGTGTCAGCTCACCACAGGTCACTGAAGCAAGACCTCTTCCTCTAGGAACCTCTGCTCAAAAGCAGAGCTAATGGCTCTTACTCAGGTGTTGATATTAGGAAAAGGAAGAAAGTTAAATATCTATGGGGCTGGGGATTTAGCTCAGCGGCAAAGCACCTGCCTCGCAAGCGCAAGGTCATGAGTTCGGTTCCCGGTACCGGAGAAAAACCAAAAAAAACAAAAAACAAAAAAAAGTTAAATATCTATATAAATTCCAAATATATCTTTTTCGTACTACATGCCCATGCAGCAATCTAGAAAGAAAGAGGCCTTCTGACTAATAAACAGTCACCTATAAGGAAAGGAAGGAAATTGTACAACTTCTAGAGGCAGTCCTTCTTCCCAAGCAGGTTACAGTCACGCATTGTAAAGGATACCAAAGAGATATGTCTGAAGTCTCCTTGGGAAAGCGAAAGGCTGATAGGAAAGTAAAAAGGGCAGCCTTACAGCTCCTTAGGACTCTTGCCCTATTCCCAGTTCCATAGGGACCATTAAAACCAGTCTATAACCCCAGGAAGATAAATGGGCTTTAGAACAAGGAGGAATTACAAAGGAACTCTGATGGTGTTTAGAAAACAAACTGCCTCTTCCTCAAGGAACACAGTGTAGGACTGTAAAAACACATCATGATTCCTTCCATATGGGAAGAGATGCTACATTGAAAATGGTCACTTGAGTTTTCACAGGACTAGGACTGGCAGCAGCCATCCAACAGGTATGCAAAGTGTGCCCACTGTGTGTCCACAATAACTCAGGTAAGCCCAATCCACCTCCTTTATTAGAATCTATACAGAGGAGAGGAATATACCATAGAGGAGTCTGGCAGTTAGACTTTACCCTTACGCCACCATGTGGAGGATTTACACAGGTGTTGGTCCTAACTGACACCTTTACAGGCTGGATTGAAGCCTATCTGACCTGTTCAGAAAAAAACTACAGAGTTAGTCGAGGAGGTTCTTAAAGAAATCATCCCCAGATTTAGACTACCCCAGTCCCTGCAGAGTGACAGTGGACTTCTCAAATACCATTTTGCCTCTCAAATAACTCGGGTGGTGGGAAGGGCTTTAGGAATAAAGTACCACCCTCATTCCATTTAACGGCCCCAATCTTCTGGAAAGATAGAGCTAACCAGAACCCTAAAGTGAGCTCTGGCAAAACTCTGCCAAGAGATGTCTGAATCCTGACTCTGATTGCTGCAAATAGTGCTTATGAAGGTTCATAACATGCCCCAAACTGGACTAAGTTTGAGTCCCTTTGAGATGTTATATGGGAAGACACTTCTAGCCTCTAATATGATAGTAGACACAGAGACAATGAGACTCTTACATCTCATTAATCTGGGCCAAGTACAGTAAGTCCCCAATTTACAAACATTGGAACTGCAAAGTTTCACAGATATGAACAGAATTCCAATTTGAGCAAAACGCTGAAGTAGCTCCTGTGCTTGCCAGACATTGTCACTGTTATGCCACTGTGTGCTCACGGTACAGTGTGATAGTGCACAGTGGTACAGTGCTCCATCAGAACTCAGGATGTTTGCAAGCAAAAGGGAAAGCAGTGGTGATGTGGAAGGGACTGCTAGGAAGCACAAAGCAATACACACTGTAGATTTGTGTCAAAGGTGTGTAAGACTCACGGTGTTGGATTTAGGAATAAATCTGATTATGAATGTTCTCCCAGATCACAACTTGCTCATAAGGCAGGACTTACTGTACAATAGACTATCCAAGTGTATGGGAACAGTCCTGCCAGTCCTGGTCCAGGGGAACCACCTAGTATCCATCCTGGAAACCAAGTGCTCATTAAAAACCTGGAGGAAGAAGACTCCTACTGACCAATTAAAGCCACAATGGAAGGGTCCCTTTTTGGTGATCCTTGTCATACCCACTGTAGTAAAGGTGGCAGAGATAGATAGCTGGATTTATCTTTCTAAACTAAAGTCAGTTCTACCTGAAGTATCTGAATTACAAGATCACTCAAAAGAAGAAAGGTACTCCTCTGAGCCTCTGAAAAACTTGAGACTTTTCTCTTCAAAATCAAGACTCCAGTTCTGCTACAGATCTGTAAACAGGATCTTGCTAAAGCTATGGCTAACATATTCTTGATAATTTATCTGACATGCCTCCTAATGTACATTCTTCTCTACAAGAGTGCTCCCCACATTTGGGCTAATAGTAAAGTTTCTTTCTCCTATCAAACAGGCAGCCCAATGGTCACTAATTCTGTTCTCATTGTGTTCTGACAGGGTTTTTATTTCTTCAACCCAGCCAGTGAGCAACAGCACCCAAGGTAGTTGTGTTATAGGCAGCTAAGTTAGATAAAATATTATAGGCAGTCAGATAGGGCTACACCCTTGAAGGAGCCAGTGCAGAAGATGAGATACTTTGCAGCTGTGGGGGAGACAGTCACCTCCACTGCGGACCAGATCCAGAGACAAAAGATAAAACAAATTCACCCACATACTTCCTAAGGAAAAACATCAGGGATTAATATTCTAAATAGGTATCATCACCTCGAAAGAGGTGATGATAGGAATGCCAGGCACACTGTCTGGAGCCAGGAAGAGCCACTAACCCAACCCCCTACGGAGAGGTCCCTGTTTTGTACTCATACCAGCTCGCTATGTGACTTGCTTCCTATCTGATCCCAATTTAATTAATTTTACCTGAGCAGTTATAGTCATAATCTTTCTGGTTGACCATAATTTTGTCCCACCTATGCCCACCTAGTAATTTCCCATTTTTCCCCACTTTGGACCAGCCTCATGTGGATTTGTTCTATAAAAATCCCTAGAAAAGGCAGGGTCCTCGGCAACCAACTCAGGACCCCTTCTGTCTCTCTCTCAGAGAGAGAGAGAGAGAGAAAGCTTTCTTTCCCCTAACAAGTATATTCTGCTCTTAACCTCCATTGTTCCTAAAATTCATTCTTCAATTTTAGAGAACACAAATTTGTACTGGACATCTAGCAGGTTGGGAGTTTCTTCCCCCTATATCAGTTGGAGAGCCCATATTACCCAGGAGGCAGGGTGTGCAGCCCCTTTACCTCAAAGAAGCTATAGAAGACAGAGACCTCCATTCCCTCAGCACCCTGTAAAGAATTACTGGATTCATGTCTCTCGGGGGAAAATGAGGTAGGAAGGTAAGGCATGGCAAAGCTGGCTGAGGAAGAAAGCTTGAATCGATTTCAGGATACATGAGCCAAATAAATCTCAGGACCCTGTATTCAGAAGTTTTCACAAGTTCCCATGAGATGTGGACAGCATCAAAAGGACACAGACGTCATGAAAAGCTCTCTATCTGCCTCTCCATGATAGTCCACCCTGTGTCTCTCAAGGTGTAATTTTACTTTTCTTCTAATTTTCCTCTTTTATGTTTGGCTTACCTTTTCTCTGCAGAGCCAGTTTCTCCTTTACCTTCCACCCTCACTTTTTCATATAAACTTTGGTACTATCTTTGGCTTGTTTTGTTCAATTCCTTGTTTGAGATGAGAACTTGGTAATGTTGAATTGGCAAGCCATTTGTAAAAGGTGCTATCCAATAAGACAACCTATCTGGGATAGGGCCAAACAAAGCCCCACTGACAACTGATCTGCTTCACAAGGGATACTTATATGTAGAAGTAAAAGTTTTATGACACAATAATGCATGCAGAATACTTTAATATTTTCTGTATATTTTATTATTTTTCTTTTAAAAATCCTCATCATAACCCAGCAATGAGTCAAAATTCTAGTTTGGAAAATGCTGACATACAGCAGCAGAGGTGATGATGTTGTTTAGCTTTGTGGATGTCCCCAAGGTCACAGATACCCTGTGTAACTTGTGAACATTCTAAGTGGATACATTAGTAAGAGACTGCAATATGTCTCTAGCCCTCTACTGTGCATCCCCTCTTAGTTCTGACTTAGAACAGGGCAGTCATTGTCTCTAAGAGGGCAGCTCACACGCTTCCTAAATCATTTGCTGCTTATGTTCATCGCTGTCTTTACCATGAGAAACTTCTCTCTCATCTCAAATGAATTCTTCTAGGTCTTGTTTTTTTATTCAACCCTCTGAAATGTGCTAATCTAAGGATAGCAGCATGCACAAGAAACCTCTACCTGTGAGTAATAAATAAATTGAAAGACAAAGGTGTAAGAGGGTGTCACTTTGAAGGGAGGAACACGGGAGGTGTCCAAACAGCAGAGAAAGATGGGTCTGGGAAGAGATGACGTGGTTTCTCAGAAAAAGATGTGATTGCAAAGGAATGACCTAACTTTGCCTGGGGTGAGAGATGTCGTTCCCGGAAGAGGGAACAACATGCACCGCGCATGGTGGGGAGAAGACCCAGGCACACTGTCTGGAGCTCCAGTAGGTGGTAAGCAATGAGGCTGAGCAGAAGGGGCGTGTGAAAGGTCTGCTGTGTACATGGGTAGACTTGACAGCCATTTATTGACTTTGCGCTCTCACTGGGAACCAGGTGAGGATGGTTTAGATTGCAGGGTCTCAGTCTTGATTCTTTGTAGCAGACTAGAGCTCTGTCTAAACTGTGGAACTGTCTTACTATCTGAACCCTCAGTGCCTGGTACCAGGGCTGGCATAGACTCAGTGAACATTCAGACACATACCAGACAATCAACTCACTCGTGTTGCCCAGCGTTTGGCAGGCATCCGCAACCCAGGTCTCCTCTGGCTTTAATCAGCGAGGGGTGGGGGAGTGGAACTGCATAATTTTGGAATAATTTAGGAAAACATTCTCTTTTATGAAGAACTCTTCAAAACTACCCCTTTTGGAAAGTTGTTTCTAATAAATTCATAACTTAAAATATTCTTATCTCACTCCCAAATCCTAAAGATAAGGAAAAGAGAAACAAATAAAATACGGACGTATAAAACTGACTCATCATATCCCAGTTTTATAGTTTTCATCAGATGCTGATGCTTAGTAACAACTTCAGGTTTCTGACTCCTAACATCTTCTGATAAGTATGATGATCATCAAAGAATAAATGAATGTTAGAGTTGGGTGAACACTTTGAATTTATTCTGGTCCATCCCTCTCATTTTACAGTTGAGGAAAGTGAGGTCTAAATAACTTTCTATGAGTTACCGCCAAATGATTTTCTACCAGGTAATTCAATCAATCAACAGCTATGACTGAGAGCAACTTATTTTTCTGGTACAAGTCCCTTTAGTTTCTTAAAAATGCAAGTGTGTCTTCTTATAATAACATTTGCATTTATTTGCCTATATTTTTCTAACTTGCTTTTTTTCACTTATTTTAATGATTCTCCCTAAATCTTTGTCATTCACACATAGTGATGTGACATAGACAATCTGGTTGACGTGTATTTATACAAGCTAAGATGCCTCACTTAGGAATATAATCTTCTGGAACCAACATGCTATATGCTACATGTCACAGACCGAAACATCTTTATGCAGCATATAACTGTGCTTGTCACTCACATAATCACAATATTTAATGACTACATAATATCTTATTGTATGGATGAACCATAATTTTTGACCTATTCCCTGTTGTTGGAATTTCAGGTGTTGTGAGGGTTATTAGAAATCTTAGCCATAACCAATAAGGCTTATCCCCATCATTCTTACGTGAAGAATTACTGGTTTGATTGGACACTTTCAGGGTTTCTGATACATGCTGCCAAGTTGAACAGGCAAGGAAAATTGTGCAGATTTGCCATAAACTGTGTTTGAGTACTTTGAAATCTTAGCAGTTTAGGACCTAACAGATCAGTTATTCCAGTTAATTTGGAGCTCAGATTTGCTCTAGTTTTAATAATATGAAATACTGATAATTATCATACAACCGGTAGTTTGAGAAGCCAAGAGGTTTTCCTCTCAATTTATAAACAAATCTTAAGAGCTTTGTGAGAAACGGTGACTAAATGGCCAAGAATCAAATTAAAAATGTCCAGCTTTCCTGCAGGAGTCACTGTTACTGTTGGTTTATTCCTGTGCCAAAACTGAAGAGCGGAGCACTGAAGAATGTGTGCACATTCGTTTTTAATGCCTAACTTGTCTACATTTCCTAAACTGTAAAATAAATAAGGCCTTTCTGCCAGATAGCATGCCATGCCGTGCTCTCTATATAATGACCGACACATACTACTCCACTCAGATGCCTGAATTGATAAAACAGGTGCCACTCATATGAAGGCACATTATGCTCTTCACAGCGGAAGCATTAGCTAATTGCCCAACTCCATAAAGAGTGCACACGCATTTGCCAACTCGAGAAGGAAAGAACACTCCTTGCTGTGGCCAACAGGATGCCCTCCCTGCACCTTCTCTTTCTGCTTTCTTTACTTTTACTCAAAATGTACGCAAGCAAAAAAATAGATAAGTGACATGCTGGGATCAGCATTCTATTGTGCTATTTGAGCTGGAAAGCTGTGCTTTAAACTTTTTCCTCTCTTTCTTTTTCTTTTTTTTAATCAAGGCTGCTCAAGCGAGAGCCCGAAGTTGTAGGAACTGGGCCAACGAAGCTGCAGGGCTGGGGCAGGAACTTATCAGGTGTAGCCAGGACGTGCCAGCCCTTTCTGCAAAGCGGGAGTTGTCCCAATCATAAAATGCAAAGCAGCCTGCGGCCCCCGTGGCCCTGTCCCGTCTCTCGTCCGGTGGTTAGGAAGGGCCAGAGGAAGTTTACCCTCTCCACGTCGTTGTCTTAGAACTGAGCCCTGCGGCTGCCTAGGAACTCCGGCTGTGAGTGGTGCAGAGGCCGGGTGCACCCTCAGCTTCAGGTGGACGCAGAGACCTCACGCGTGGCGTGTGGAGTCCCGGGCCAGACGCGTGGCCTCGCTCCTCTTTTACAGCCGCAGCCGCCTCCGCTGAGGCTGGGGGTTGGCGAAACTGTCACCTGTCGCGAGCCGGACCTGGCAGGGCGAAGGGCCTGGCAGCCAGAACGTGCTGGTTACAGCAGCTTGGGCAAGCGGCCCTCCTGGAGCTGGGAAGTCACAGCCAGAGAGGCAAGTGTGAGGACTGCTCGCAGACTCGAGGCCCCTCAGCAACTGACTGTCCCCGTTTGGCCCCAGGAGCCATAGGCTTGGGGTGCCGGAGGGTCAATCGAGTAGACGCCAGGGTCGCAGGTTCGAGAAGCTCCGCCTCCTGCTGCTACTTAGAGCGGTCAGCTGCAACTTTCCCACTCAGTCCCGGTCTGTGGGGAACTTCCCAGCCAGAAGCCACCCAGACCCGGTGCCTGCAACCTTACTGCTCGCTCTTGACCTAGGCCCCGGAGAACCCACTCTGCACCCGGCAACCGACGCCCCGACTTCTCACGCGCTCTTCTCCGAGGGGTCCGCTCGGGGCCAGCCGCGCTTCCCCTCCCCCTCGGCTCGCGCTTCCTGGGGCGCCCGGGACCCGGCCGCCCGCACCGACCGCAGAGGGACCCGCACAGCCGCCCGCGCCGGGCCGGGCCATGGCCCGCTGCTGCTGCCTGTCGGCCGAGGAGAAGGAGTCGCAGCGCATCAGCGCCGAGATCGAGCGGCAGCTCCGCCGGGACAAGAAGGACGCGCGCCGGGAGCTCAAGCTGCTGCTGCTGGGTGAGTGGCTGCGTCTCCCCGGGACGCCGAGCTCGGGGTCCGCTCCGCTTGCTCGCCGGGACCCCCGCGGCGGGTGCTGCGCGCCTTTGCCCGGGCAACCGCCGGCCGCGGCACAGCAGGTCCGGGACCTTACCGCGGCCGCCTTCCTGCTTTCCACGCCGGTGCGGGTTTGCCCCGGTGCCTGAAACCGCCTCTGCCCTTCTTCCCCGCAGCTCCCGCTACCCACGAGTGCGATGAGGTTCGGCTGTAGCTCGGCCCGCGGGCTTTGAGGTGTAAAGGAGGTGTCGCTGCCTCGCGCTTAGCGCGCAAACGCGTGCGCTGCTCCGCGCTGACTTATCCGGGCATCAGCTGGTGCTGTGCAAAGGCCCTATCCTGCTTTAGAGAATTAAAAGTGCAGGCTCAGAAACCGACAAACTGTCCTAACCGAGAAAAAGTAGAGCAGATACCAGGCCAAGCGTGGGGGCCGGGCCCGTGCCCGCAGCCTGCCTCTGTGACTTCCTCCTGGGCCTCGCAGGGCTCCACAGCGAGGCCTGTGTGCTGCGGTCCAAACCGCCCCTGCCCTGCTGGGCGTGGGCTCGGCCTCCGAGGCTGCAGCTGTGCGCGGTCTTCATCAGGCTTTTTTTGTGTCTCTCTGCAAAGGTCTTTCAGAAATAGATGGAAAGGAGTTAAGGCACCTCCGGTACACTGCTATTCAATCCATTAACTGCTCGAGGAATATTTCTTTTTTCACATCGGGACATCAGCTGTTGATTTTATTGCCCACCTACATAGCCACAGATGATTCAACTCCTTTCTTTCAACCATCTCAGGCAAGAATTCTCTCTTCCACCACAGCCTGTTGATTCATCTTTAATATAAATAGTTACCTTTCCAGAAAACTTCAGGGAAAGACAGCGAGGCCTGGTTAGCATAAGGCAGAGTGGGCTTTCAGTCAGTACAGCCCTCTGACCTGGGCACAGGAGCCCCCTTAAATTTGTCCCCTGGATTTAGAGGCCTGCTCTGGTTTTCCCCTAGCTGTACCTTTCCCAGGGACAAGAAATCTCCACCTGCAAGGAAGTGGCCTTTCGGAGTCCATTCTACCCCAAAGGCCTGGCTGGAATTCCCTTTTCGAGGGGGCCCAAGCTTGCTGCTAGGGTCTGACGTAGGGCGAGCAGACTGACCCCTGAGGGTTGCCCAAAGGGGCGCTTTTGGGGCTGCTGTTTGCTGAGATGGTGGAGGAGCTTGGGAAGGTGGCCCCGGGGCGTTCAAGGGGCCTCCTAGAGACCGAGGAGCCCAGGTGGGGAAAGAAGGGACTCTGTCCACTGCCGGGGCTTCTCTTTGGTGTCTGAGCCAGAACTCTGAGGAATCTGAGAATTCTGAATTGAATCTGGCCTTCCGGGCTATTATAAAGCCACGTGAGTTAAAGGAAGAGGATGATGTGGTAGCTTGCTAGCTTGATTAACACAGTAAAGTAATCAGGCAGACCTTCATTTATACTCTTGCCCCAGACCCACAGCCACAGGGGTGGACCTGGGCTTAGTTGCACATTTTTCTAAGACAGACTAAACTCTGCTTTGTTTTAAAGTATTTAAATTTGTGTCAGTGCGTGAGGTGCAGTCTGGAATATACCAAAAGCTTGGCTCTTTGTATGAGAAAGTGTGCAGTAAGCCAAGCTATACTGTATTGAATAATAAAAGTGTGACCTTGATGTAAAATGCTCGCATTTTCACCCCAATGAGAAGAGTAATGTTTGTAGCTATTTGTCCTGAAAGCACTTATGTGCAGGTGACTAGAGAGCCTTCTTATCCCCAAGGCCCTTGCCCGCCACTTCCCTCACCCCCAAAGCATTGCCTGACTTCCTGGGAGGACCCCTGTTTTCATTATATGCAACCGGGACTAGCACACTATCTCAGTGACAGCTTCCCCATTAAAAAATAGTTTCCCTAGGGGAACAAAGGAGTTCCCCAGCCACGTGGAGCTGTCCAGAAGCCCACATGTGGATATAAACACCTCTGGCTTTGCTCCCTCCTAAGGGAAAGTAGCACAGTCCATTTCTTTTTAAGACAAAGAACAAGGCAATGCTGGGGAAGGTGCAAGAATCAGGAAAGAGTCCATGTTGTTTTCAGTCATTCCGTTTGAGTAAAAAATTCAGTGAGCCTCTGTAGTGGGTGGATCAGATCACGCAGTACTCTTAAGCCTCAGATGAAAACTCCACCACAAATCAGAGTTAGGGATCCTCTGTGGAGCAAGGAATAGCCCAAAAAACCATCAACTCTTGCACCATGAAGTGTGTTTTTACAATTGGATGAGAGTATTTCTGAAGTGCATTCAGTGGAGTAACATCCTGTTTGTGCTTCATAAAAGTGCAGGGCAGTGTCCAGGAGAGAAGGATAAAAGCTGCTCTCTGGCGCTGGCCCATAATTACAAGATGTCCATGTGGTGCCTCATCAGAAGAGGAAGAGAACAAAGCGGAGGGCTGAGTTTAGCAGAAGAAATTTCTTATCACTACCGTGGACAAAAAGGAGTTTCTGATAAGATTGCTGGTAAATAGCTTTCAGTGTAAGAAAGTGTCTGGGCAGTAGCAATTAAATGGGATGTGTGTGGTCTTTTTCTTGATTTTGATGTTAAGTGCAGCTTGGTGAAGTGTCGTTTGCTAACTGGGTTGAGTATCTTCAGTGACTCTGAGAGCTTAACTTTGGGACTCTGGAAGGAAGGGAGGCTAGAACTTAATTTATGCTAGTTGTATTCATTTGCTAGGGCTGCCATAATCAAAGGCCACACATGGGTAGGCTAGAGCATCAGGAAATAATTTTTTCCTAATCTGGAGGTTAGAGGTCCGAGATCAACGTGTTGGGAGGTTTTGCTTTTCCCAAGGCCTCTTGGGTTGGAGTCAGCGGCCTCGCTGTGGTCTCACATGGCCTTTCTGCTGTGTGTATACCCCTGAAGTCACTTCCTCTTCTTACAAGGACTCCAATCTCATTGGATCAACCCCTCTCCCACCAAGGGCCTCATTTTATCTTAATAACCTCTTCAAGAAGACCTTATTCCTAAGTGTAGTTACATCCTGAAGTACAGGTGTTTGGGACATTGACAGATTTTGGCAGGAAAACAAATTCAGCCTGTAACACTATAACCTGCAGATTAAAATGCAGATTCCCAGTCTAGATAACTTGGGTTCAGATCCTGGCTCTATTGTTTCTTGGCTGTGGACTACTCTGGGCTTTAAATTCGCATGAAGTATCAGTTATCATTGCTTCATTTTTGAGGACTTTGAGGCAGCAGGGAGTTGTCATCTATTTGAGCTGACCAGTTGTAAGTTACATAGCAGTCTGTCTGAATTTTGCTGATACTGTGATGCTGCAGCAGAATATTTTGCTCTGAGTTTCTTTTAGGGTTTCCTGAACCTTAAAGTGGTTTTAAAGTCTCTCTGCCTACTCACACCAGAGAGTTGGAAGTCTGGGTCTCCAAAAGTTTTATTGGATTAGATACCAAAAAATCCCATTTTAGAGCTGACTTATATTCCTGGTCATGAAGTCCACTAGAGAAAGTGGTGCAGATATTGTGGGTTTCTTGGTAGATAAAGTGACAGAATTTTCTGGCCCTAAAGAAGAGGAGTGAACTGATAATATGCCAGTTTCCCTTTATCTTAGTGTACTTCAGCCCAACAGACTTTTCCAAGCCTGGTGAGTATGGTATCCAGTTCAGGGAATCACTTCCAGCCACTGTGTTGTAGGTGGATTGCTCACGAGTAACTATGATGAGGAGGATGGTCACATAATCTCAGTGGAGTTAAAGGGGTCCTATGTGCAGAGTGTGGATGAGGAGCCTCACAGGGAGGGATCCTCAAACTGGGCTTCAAAGCTGGAGAATGTGGGTGGGTAAGAACTGTCCGCTGGTGGGGGCTTGACCCATTCACACTCTAGGGAGAGATGAGGGCAGACTCTCTCTGCCAAACCAGGGAAATCTCTGAGGGTAGCAAGTGATGCTCTCAAGATCTGGGATATAAAAGGCCTCTTGGGAGCAAGACTGTATTGAATTTTTGTGTCTATCTTGATCATTTATGTGAGTACTATGTCCATTATGAAAATAGATGTTAATATGAAATGCTTTGTTAATGCTATTTTTTTTTTTTTTTTGCCACAGTAGGCTTCAGAACGGGTTGTGTGTGTGGCTTTATCTGGGCTTATGCCCATCCTGGGTAGGATAAACCAGGCCTTGTAGGAGTCAAGGGCATGTACCCCTTCTTCTGCCTGCCTTTTGGTACATATAGAACCTCCTGAAAAAACAGCCTTTCACCTTTTGCAACTCTTCTTATAAACCCTATTGAGGTATTTTACATACAATAAAAGTCGCCAACTATAAGTGTACAAATTGCTGCGTTTGGACAATTGTGAGCAGTTGTGTAAGTGCTGATCTGGAACATTTCTGTCTGTCCAGAGCATTTCTCTCCCCAAGGGTTCCCTGTGTTCTTTTGCAGTCATTCTCCTCCTCCAAACTTGTATTTTTAACTTTTGATTTGGATACATTTTCACATTTATTTAAAACAGCAAGAATAAGAATATACAAACTACACATATTTTCCCAATGCACTTCTTGTTGAGTTTTTACTCGAATTTCTTTCCAGTTACACATTTTCATCAGCTTTGCTGAAATGTTTGAGGGCGAGTTACACGCACTGTGGCCTTCACCTCTAATCATGTTGGTGAGTTTTTTCTAAAAATCAGGGACACCATCCTACATAAGAACAGCTCATTTAAACTTCACTAAGGCTAACTGCAGTGCAACATCTGTGTCCAGTCTACTATTCCTATTGCAGTTTTGTCAGTTGGCCTAAGAAAGTCCTCAGAGGCACTTCCTCACTTCCAGTGCAGGTGCAGGGGTTGTATTTGGTCCTCATGTTTGAATTTCTTTAATCTGGAGCATGTCTACAGTCTGTCATTGTTTATGTGACATTGAAGCTTTGAAGAATACGGTACCCTCTGCCTTCTTAAAACAGAACACTCCTCACTTAGGATTTGCCT